TTATCAAAATGACAATTTCCAATTGTGCAAGGAATTGTAAAACTCCCTGGATCCTTTAGCTTTGGGGGAAGCTTATTCTGAAGAATTGCAGAACATTCTTCAGTGAGTTTCACAGTCTCATACTCTTCCAATTTCCTCTTGTTAGATACGATCTCCTTTAAGAATTTAGCATAGCTAGGCATTTGAGCTAAAGCATCTGCAAAAGGAATGTTAATGTGCAATTTCTTAAAAATATCTAGAAACTTAGCAAATTGCTTATCTAGCTTTTGTTGCTTCAACCTATGTGGAAAAGGAATTGGAGGCACATAAGACTTGACTTCTTCAGATTCTTTAGATGGCACTTCAGATTTTTTCTCTTCCGTTGGAGCTTTCACTTTTTCACCCTTATTGTCTGAACTTTCTTCATCTCCAATTTGCTTCTCACTTCTCAATGTTACAGCTTTCACTTGTTCCTTAGGATTTTTTTTAGTACTGCTTGGTAACACTCCTTGTGCTCTTCCAGAAACTACACTTGCCAATTGACCTACCTGAGCCTCTAAATTCTGAATTGATGCACCTTGGTTCTGGACTGTAGCTTCCAAGCTCTTGGTTGCTACTTCTTGACTTTGAAACCTTGATTCATTAACCGCAATGTATTTTCAACAAATCCTCCAAATCTGATTTTTTCCCAAGTGGTTGCTGAAATCCTGGAGGTTGCTTTACTATATTTTGGTTGTTACTCCAAGAAAAATTTGGATGATTCTTCCATCCTGGATTATATGTATTGGAGTATGGATTATTTTGCTGCTTATTAAAACCAACAAAATTAGCATGTTCAGATGAAGAAATAAAAGAATTACCTTCTAGACATTCAGAACTAGGATGTGCTCCCCCACACAAGTCACAATTAATGCTTGTGGCTTGTATAGTTGAGACATTCATCCTAGTTAACTTTTGGTTTAAAGACTCAATTTGTGCTGTCAAAGCAGTAAAGGCATCAACCCCATAAATTCTAGCATTTTTCTTAATGTGTGATCTTTCCGAACCCCATTGATAACTATTTGAAGCCATCTCTTCTATAAGGTTATAACTCTCATCAGCATGTTTACTCATTAATGATCCTCCAACAGCAGCATCAAGCATGGTACGATTATTAGGAAATAAACCATTATAAAAAGTGTGTACCTGTAACCATATAGGTAGACCATGATGTGGACACTTCCTGAGTAGCTTTTTGTATCTCTCCCATGCCTCATATAATGACTCCATATCCAGCTGCACAAAAGTGGCAATATCGTTACGCATCTTAGCAGTTTTAGCAGGAAGGAAAAACTTACTTAAAAATTTTTGAGCCATCATGTCCCATGTGGTGATTAACCCAACAGGTAAAGAATTTAACCAATTCTTTGCCTTGTCTCGCAGAGAGAATGAAAAAAGCCTTAGTCTAACAGCATCATCAGAAACTCCATTATATTTAAAAGTGTCACAAATCTCTAAAAAGTTAGCAATATGAGCATTAGGATCATCACTTGGCAACCCACAAAATTGCACAGATTGTTGAATCATCTGAATTGTTGCTGGCTTAATTTCAAAATTATTTACTTTGACAGCTAGTCTCCTTATGCTTGAAACAGTTCCTTCAATTGAAGGTGAAGCATATTCCTTCAATGTTCGAATGGCTTGATTTGCTACTGGATCTTCAGCCATGATGTCAATTGGCTTAACAACGAGTGTTGTCCTCTAGTTTTTCAATTGATGAAAAGTACGCTCAATCTCAAGATCAAAAGGTGCAAGTTTTGTATTTTCAGAATGAGTCATGCACTAACTTGCACACCTGCTAAATAAAAAAAAAATCTAAATTAAAACTAGAATTAATCTGCTTGATATTAATTAGAATCAATATAGTTCCCGGCAACGGCGCCAAAAACTTGATGAGCTAATTCCACTCTAGCAAGTGTACTAGTCTGTTCAAGTAATATAATGATAAAAATAGAGTATTGTCCTACAGAGACCGTAGACTAATTAAGTACCAAAATTAATGAATTCTAATTTTATTTGAATAATTGAAATTAAATTATTTGAATAAATTAAATAACTAAACTAGTTAAAGACAAACTAAATTAACTTTGAGTAACACCAAGAATTAAAAGTCTAAGGCATCCGACTTCACCATCATCAACTAATATAGAATGGTTAAATACCCTTTTTGGTCCCTCTACTATAGGAAAAAGGCCTTTTTTAGTCCCTGTACCGAAAAAATCCCCTTTTTAGTCCTTACTGTTCACAAATCCGGCCCCTTTTTAGTCCTTCAGTTAAATTTTAGCTGATGTGGCAAGTTAATTAACGGAAACACTCATTCTTTTTTTTTAACTAAATTACGTGGAAAATCCATGTGGCCAAAATTGATGACATGTTAAATTTTTTATCTTTAATTACTGATATACCCTCATCTTCTTCCCCGGCTTTTCCTTCCTTCAGCCTTTTTTTTTTTCTTTTACCTCCAGGCAAACCCAAGAGGCGCAAGGAACGTAGCTCGAGAGGTTCGCGAGGTACCTAGCTTGAGAGGTTCACGACGAACCCAGCTTAAGAGGTTCTCGACGAACCCAACTCGCGGGTTCGAGAGGAACCCAGCTCGCGGGTTCACGAGGAACCCACAAGCTGGGTTCACGACGAACCCACGAGCCTGGGTTTCGCCATCGTGAACCCACGAGCTGGGTTCACGACGGACCCACGAGCCTGGGTTTGCCATCGTGAACCCACGAGCCTGGGTTTCGCCATCGTGAACCCACGAGCTGGGTTCACGACGAACCCACGAGCCTGGGTTTGCCATCGTGAACCCACGAGCCTGGGTTCGCCATCGTGAACCCACGAGCCTGGGTTCGCCATCGTGAACCCACGAGCCTGGGTTCGCCATCGTGAACCCATGAGCTGGGTTCATCGCAAACCCAAGCTCCTACTGCTTGAGGAATCGATTGAAGAGATCGAAGGGGATTTGCAGTTGCAGATCTCCTACTGCTTGCTCCAAGTTCTGTTGGTACTTCTCTCTCGAATTCAGCTTTTGCCTGAACTTCTCTCTTTTGCATGCTTATTCTTTCTGTATTCATAAATTACCTGTGAAATTTGTGAAATTAGGAGTTGAATGAGCGATTTTTATTTGATTTCAGCTATATTTTGAGCTTAGTTATGTTTCATATGTTACTTGTGAAATTTGAGATCGAAATCGATCTAGAAACAGAAGGATTTGAATGTTTCAATGAGAAAATCTTGATGAAGCTCTTTCATATGCAATAGTTCTTCATGTTCTGTGAAAATGCTAACAGTAAGCTGAGTAGCGATAAGATGTTTCTAGAAAATTTTTTTGGTTTCTTGGACACTGTCCTGTTTGGATCTTGATTTTACACTTTTGTTGCTTTTCAATAATAATATGAAATAATAGTCTCTACTCTCC